GCAATTCACGAATTGTTGACAAGGGATCTTTAGTCGTGTTGGGTCGAATACATTCACAACAAGGTATACTTAGAGTCTTAGGGGCTTGAGATGACGAATTTGTGGTATCTTGATCTCACTACTTCTACGTGCTTAGAAATTACTCTACCCTACATGTTGTTGAGCTTTTTGAGGAATGTTATCCTTTTGTGACTTTATATTAACAACCTGATTACTGATGAGCTGCCTCTTGTTTGGGATACAATGATTTACCCTCTGCCTTTATGGCCCGGTGAGCTCTGAAGCATAGGGATATCCCTCTCGAGACAATTTAATTATTTTATAGATCCCACATGTTGATGAGCCGCTACCCATTTGGGACATGAGCGACTCATTTTCTGTCATGTGGCTTAGCGAGAGCTCTAAAAGCATTGGGGTATGATGATGTAAGCGAAACTTCTTTTATCGAGAGCATTCTTGGGTATCCCCCAAGATGTAATTAACGAAAGGGATAAGTTACTTTGGAAGTGCTCTTGACCCCTAAATAATTTTTTTTTCGTTCTTTGGTTATGAGTGGCTTATGTATGGATTTTTTTGTGGATACCGTGTTTCGAGGCATTTCGATCTGCTTTTATTTCAACATATACTCTGAATCTATTACACGAGGATTACCTTATACATAAGATTTCCATGTTTCTTTTTAAAAATCATTTACTCTGAATCTATTACATAAGATTTCCATGTTTCTTTTTAAAAATCATTTGTCTATTTTTGTCGTATATCATTCTTTTTTATTTCTCTCATCTTCGAATCATTTATATGATTCGGGAGAAAGATTTACTTAAAGAAGAGAATAATACGATGACATATAAATAGACAAGTTGATCTAAGTTCTTTTTAAAAAAAACCAAAAATAAAAACTCAGTTAAAGAATAAATTTGATCAACTAAAAAATGATTGAAGACTATTGAATGAGTTAAAACAAGATGCAACTAGATTAGGTTGAGACCTTGTTAAGAAAATGATAGATGCGTCCGAGGAGTGGTGGAGAGAGAACTTTTGATAAGTAGAAGACATTGTTATATAAATTCTCCATATTTTCATATCATTTGAATTATGATTTTCAATTTTAGGTTGTGTCAAATGCAAAAAAAAAAGAAAGAAAAAAAAGGTTTTCTAGCATATACCATGAGCTGGAGATTAAACATGATTTGATGCTTCTTGGTTGTGTAGTTACAGGCTCTAATGTTTGGGTTATAACACAACTTTCTCCAGAAATTGGATGAGCTTAAATATGCTCATTCAAATGAAGTTTACCAGGAACCACCACAAGACTTTGAACATAATGAATCAAGTCATTCCAAATGTTGTGCACCATCAAGCAAGAAATCTAAAAATAAAAAGAAGGTTGACACCAAATTTTTAACTGAACAAGTTTCAAGTTAGTTACAACTCGCACCGGTATGATGTCCACTGCTCAGACAACTATTCACACATGCCTTGTTATGACGAAAATCATTAAGATACTAGAATTAATTCTCAAAATATTTGAGGATATTGCATTATATTTATTCTCAATAAAATTATTTGAAGACCCAACGAAGAGGGAGATTTTTATGATGATGGGGTTGGAGTAAGGGATTCATTACCTCCATTATTTCTTAAACAACTAGTCAAGTTGAACTCTGGGTTTTTTATGTTTGCGATTAAGTTTAGTTTATGATAATTTGAACATCTATTTCAAACAAATTGTACATTATGTTTATGTGATTATACTCTATATGTTTGAAGTTATGTGTTTATATTATGAACATCTATTTGAACAATTTGTATTTCTCTATTTCAATAATATGTTTTGTTTATCTGCTTATGTTTTGTTATTGTATGGGTGACTTCTATTTGAACAATATGTAGTATTTTAAAGTTAGAACTTTAAGAGTTGATGATTTTTCCTTATATGTATTTCTTTCGGTTGATTATGAGCCCTCATATATTTTTAGTTGTTATATCGCACATGTAGTCTAATTTCTTGATTAAGCATTACATTTTTTTAGTTATTTTCTCGCCGTGATTAATTTTCCTATCAGAATGCAAGAAATGATCTGATGTATCCATCAAATGAAGAAGAAATCATATAAACAGTTCATTGAACCTCCATTTTGGCAACTACAATTTCTCATATTGATATGTACTACCAAACTTATCTGTGTAAGACCGCTTAGATGACATTCTCCTCAGTAAATGACAAAAGGATTGATGAACTCCTTCAAGGTCAATCAGATAGAACTCACATGTTTCAAATTTCCAAAATAACACTGTGATCTCCTGAACAAATTACAAAATAATTACAATTTGCATGGATCATTTTGAATTAAACCAGGGGAAGTTTTGTGTGTCACTTTATATATATTGTCACATAATGAGTCGATGTGTGTTGTATTCAAACAATTTTATCGCTCAACAAAATCTATAGCATATATTTTGATATTTGTCTTAGTTCGTTGGTTAGAATGTTTTTGTCTATTGTTAAACCAATCTATCCAAGTTTTGGTCGTACACCTAGAGAACTATGCGATGATATCATATACATGTCATTAATTAAGGTAATTATTATATAAATTTATTACTTTATTGGTCTACTTTAGATTAACTATTAAAGTTTTAATTTCTAACAGAACTGTATAAGAGCTATTGATGATATATATGCCAATACACATACTGGTAACAACGAAAAGGTCATATATATCGGTTGTTCTGGTTCTCAAACATAGAATATATTAGCAGTATGTGACTTCAACATACGTTATACCTATGTAATGGCGGATGAGAAGGTAATGCTCATGATAGTCGCGTTTTCAAATTTACATCTTGGATGCTAAATACAAATTCCCATTGACGATTTCCGATTAGTTCAATTAATCAATTTAATTGCAATATTATTATGGTTATTTGTCCTAATATTGCTTACTCATAGGAAAGTATTGCCTCGTCGATGTTGGGTATCCCATGCAACGAGGTTTCTTTAAGCCCATCCCCAACATGAATTACCACTTTCCTGATTTCAAATACAAGTATCAAGCGGTTAAAGTCAGGAATGAATTATTTAATAAGGTGCACTCATCATATACAGAGTATAATTGAGAAAACATTTAATGTGTGGAAGAAAAATGAGTCATACTTTGAGATATGCCAACATATTTATTTAAGAAGCAAGTTAAAATAGTTTTAACAATGACAGCTCCGCATAATTTCATACACATACATCCATCTCAAGATTATGTGGACTTCAGGGACTTAGATGATGATCCTATGTGCATACTCGTTGAAGCATTCAAGCGTCATACATGACCGCCAATACTGGAGGAGATTTTGGGTGTTGAGATACCCAATGGGGATGGTGTTCAGGAGATGATTCAGTTGAAGGAATAGATCATGGATGCATTTGTGAATGTGTCAAGTACCTATAAGTAATAAATTCATGAAATATGATGAGTGGCTTTGGGGATGTCTTTTGGTTTTATTTATTTATTTTTGCTAAGTATGATAAAACTATGTTAGTTGATGTACTATATTTTAAATTCATGAAGTTTTTCTTACTTTTATTTCATTCAACTATGAACATGATCTGATTGCTTCCGTTGTGAACATGTTATGGTTGCTCATACTATTTTTTATGTTCATTTTTTTTCTTCTAATTCCTCATTTTATTATCAATATAAGCTTAAGACATACCTTTTTCACATAATATGAGTCCAAAAAATTCAATTGGCTCGAGAATTATTTACTATCATTACGGTTTGCATTGCTTTATATACATGTCTTAAAAGAAGCCAGTTTTGAGAGAAAAGTTTATAGATGTCCCAAAAATAGAATTCCTCATGATTGTGACTTGTTCAGATGAGCTGAGTATTGTGGGTGGTCCACTTTAGACGACGATAGTGTCTAAAGAGTAGCTTTGGAAAAGAAAATTCTGGATGGGGCTTGTTTATTTAGAAATGAGAACCATTATAATAATTTTACTTGTCCATATTTTAATTTACATGTTTTCAGTAATTCATCAGAGTTAAGTGATGTATGACTTGTAATGTAATATTTTGAACTTCTACCTTTTTCGTAATATTTTGAAGTTTATTTATGGTATTTTGTTTGAATTGTTTCTGAAGTTGTGCGCTAACAACTGTATTTTACAAAAATAAACTAGTTATTATTTTAGAAGCAATTGTAGGACAACGATTTCAGAGTTGAACTATTTAAACAAACTGCAGCTGTTGTCTCTCCTAGTAATTCTTTCACAGTGGTTTCTTCATAAAATTGCAATTGTCTCGAAAAGGCCATCAATGATAAAACTCGAGTAACATCCATCTTAATAAACAATTTAAAAATATCACTAGCTATTAATTTTCACCTTATAAAATTATTGATTTTGTGGTCATCTTAATATTTTTATGGTTGTTTGGCATCATTTTTTTTTTCTTTTTATTTCTTATTTTATTTTATTTATATTTTAAAAAAAATAAAAAATGTTTGATATACTATAAAGTATTTAGTTATTTTCAAATATATGTTTTGATTATTATCCTATAAAAAAATATAGATATAGATGTGACCATAAATATATTTACATGTTCTATTTTAAAGCATTATATGACTATTAATATAATTAAGCATGATTTGCGTATTATAATTTATTATTTATATATCTAATATTTAAATTTTTATATTTACATTCACAACATTTCAAAATCTAACAAACATCCAAATATAGCTATATATAAGTTAATATTATTATATTCCAATTTTTATTAAATTAGTTAATTAATTTGAAAATAGCAGAGCAATATATCTAATTGGCTACAACATCACCGTGGGCTAGCTTCGGGCCTATAAATACCCAAAATTTGAACTGCTGAGCCCGCCCAATCTGTGCGGCGACCAGGTCAAGCCCGAACCCGGTCCTATTATAGACCGGTTCCAAGATCGTGTCAATTTGCGAGTCAACGATCCGGCTACCGGCTCGCAGTCGGAGCCCAAAGTCCCCAAATCTCCTCTTTCTCCTCAATTTCAAGCCTTCGTCTTCCTTCCGCTATAAAGTACGCTGGCCGGCTTCCGTGATTTTATCTGCGCCCAACTCCCGAGAGAGCTTTCTCTCTCTTTTTCTGCATCTTCTCTTTCGTCGCAGTGTCGGAGGTTATAAATTTCCATGCTCTGAGCCCGATTAGGTTACAAAGGAAGCACCTTTGCATTGGTCTGTGAACGTTAGAGAGAGAGAGAGAGTGTGTGTGTTTGTGTGCGTGCGGCCAACTTCAAACGTTCGTAATTAGTGGAGACGGAGAGCAAAAAAGTCTGCTTTTTGCGTCTTTTTTATTCTTCAAGATTCGATTACAGAGCGACCATCTGATAGCTTGGTGTGTGTTTGTTTGTGGAGAGAGAGTTGGAGTAGCAAGATAAGAGAAGATATTTTGCTATAGATCGCTGGGTCAAGGATCGATCGCAAGGCTACTATTAATCCGATCTGCGCGGGGAGCCCGTGCCTCTTTTTTGTCTGGTGGAGAATTGAGGATTAAGACATTATTGGAGAGAGAGGTTTTCAGAATCAGATTTGGTTATCACGATGCCGGAGGGAGGTTACTACTGTTCGAAGAAGAGGGATGATATTTGTGAGAATGTCTGTGGCCAGGTAATTTTTTTGTCGCAAATCTGTTAAACTATTTATTTCTTACGGTAAATCTGTTTGATTGGATAATTTGATGGTAACCGCATCGATCTGGGGTTTATGGTTGGTGCTTTATTCGCCTTTTATATGTTTTTTTTTCGGATTGATTTCGCAATCGTTTGCCATAAAGGATCTGGAAAGCAAAGCCCTTTGTCTTTCATCGGGAAAGCAGCGCCTTTCTTCCAAAAATTTCTTTTTTTTTTTCGTGAGATTTCTTCTTCATGGATGACGCGCTTTCTGATTCTCCTTCATCTGCATTTTTACTCGCTTTCGATCTACATCGATAAAAAATCCGAATTTACTTATTCTTATTTGTGGTAAAATGGCTAACAGGCTTCTAAGGTGGGATCTAGTATGTCGAGGCTTCTATGCATCTTCCGGGGATTTGATCTGAAGGCTATTTTGCTTCTCTTTGTTGGCATCCCGCTCTTCATCCTTGGCGTCTACTTACACGGGCAGAAGTTCACCTACTTCCTCCGACCGCTATGGGACTCTCCCCCAAAACCTTTCAACATGATCCCCCATTACTACCATGAAAGCGTCTCAATGGAGAATCTTTGCAAGCTCCATGGCTGGGGAATCAGAGAAACTCCAAGGCGGGTTTTTGATGCTGCTCTCTTTAACAACGAGGTCGATATTCTTACCATCAGGTGGAATGAACTGAGCCCTTATGTGTCTGAGTTTGTTCTTCTAGAGTCCAATTCCACTTTCACAGGAAAGATAAAGCCCCTCTTTTTTGCACGCAACCGTGAAAAATTCAAATTTGTGGAGTCCCGGCTGACTTACGGCGTCGTCGGCGGGAGATTCATGAAGAAGGAGAACCCCTTCGTCGAAGAATCTTACCAGAGAGTCGCCCTTGATCAGCTTATCAGAATTGCCGGCATAACTGATGATGATCTACTCATCATGTCAGATGTTGATGAGATCCCCAGTGGCCACACCATCAATCTTCTAAGATGGTGTGATGACATTCCTGATAAGCTTCATCTTCAGCTCCGGAACTTCCTCTATTCCTTCGAATTTTACCTCGATGATGATAGCTGGAGAGCCTCCGTTCATCGATATAAGCATGGAAAGACTCGCTACGCTCATTTTCGCCAAACAGACGACTTGTTAGCCGATTCAGGGTGGCATTGCAGCTTCTGTTTCCGCTATCTCAGTGAATTTGCTTTCAAGATGAAGGCGTACAGCCATGTCGATCGTGTAAAGTTCTTCTATTACTTGAAGCCTTCAAGGATTCAGGACGTGATCTGTCGAGGAGCAGACCTTTTCGATATGCTTCCTGAGGAGTACACTATCCAGAAAATTATTGCAAAATTGGGTCCAATTCCTAGTTCTTATTCCGCCGTGAATCTTCCCGGTTATCTGCTTCAGAATGTTAACAAATTCAAGTATCTTTTGCCTGGTAACTGCAAGAGGGAGAGTGGCTGATTGCCATATTAGCAGTAGGGGACTCTCTTTCTCACATATTACACAGCATACTGATCGAATACCCTAAGATAATTTTCTAGTTTAGTTTCATGATTCTTTACAGAGAAGTTTTGCAAGCATGGCTGAGAGTAGTTTTGTTTATGTGCCATTGTATTTAAGAAAATAGGTTGTATTTTATCATGCTTGCGACGGGTTGGGGTTTGTTTGATCGGCCGAGCCTTTTGTCGGGGATTATAGATGGGATGTTCTTCTTCATCCTTTCATCCCTTATTGGTATGCTGTGCAATAAAATATAATGTAAAGTACATACCAAGTGAAAAGCTCAAACTTCTTATGTATGGGGGGTTTTAATTCCTGTAATACTTATTGATTCTTATATTATTCTTTCTTTTTACTTTGGATTCCTTACTACTTCATTTGGTTGTTTGGTTCATTTGAGCTTTGATTGTTGGTAGTGTCTTCTTGTAGCTTGAGGGTTATGCTTTTGGAAAATTTACATATATATACCTCACAATTCTTATGCATTTACATCTCTTGCGCCTAAAGTTTGATATTTATGTTTTTAACATTTTGACATTGAAAGTTTATGCATGAAAATGTGTATTTCGCTTTTAAAAAGTTGATGATAGTGATATTTTGTACGTGATGTTAAAGATTTGGATGTTCTTTATGTAAATTTGGAAGTTTAGATGTTAGATATGTAAATATATAAAAAAAATGTGGTATGCTTGTCTCTAGACTTACTTGGCCTCCAAATGGCACAATCCATGCAAGAAGTTAAAACCGGAATAAGTGCATATATTTATATGGTGGTAGATAGAATAAGGGATTATGGCATCTTACTTTATAAATTATTATTATAAGTTTTTATATTGTTTTCCAAAACCCCATGTAGTCTCTGTTGTTTATAATTTACTGCTTTTTATTTATTTTTTTTTTATTTTTTTGGCATTTGATTCTGTATTTATAAGGACCCATGCGTTATTTTGAAACCTGAGAAGTTTGATATTGAATTGGAGAAAAAAGGAAGAGGATATTATGAGCAATGATTAGAATGATTTTTAGAATTTTAAGATTTATTTTAAAATAACATGGACAATCAATTAATTTTTACAGTGTATTCAGTCCGAAGTAGATCTATTGTGAGTATTTGAAGTAGTATTTCTTCATAAATTATCATAATTAGCTGCTGTCCTCAGTGTTCATCAAATATGCCTTGTCTTAACCTGTGTTTGCAGGACAAATATGCACCAAATGTCAAATGGTAATTTGGTTATTAGCATTTGTCAGTCTCAGAGTTTATAAAAGTGTTAAATTAGTTTCTAAATTTTTTTTTAATATGGGCGCTATTTTAGGCCCCCGCTGAAAGAGTCTGGTGACCAAGGGTGTGTTTGTAGGGACGGGACCGGGCGGTGTGGTATGGACCAAACTATTGCGACGTTTGTGGAAAGAGTTTTTTGTCTGCTTTCTAAAAAAACTACAGTGGAAAAGCTACGTTTTACAATCTAAACTGGCCAAGGATGATTGTTGATGAAAAGTTGTCATATGACTTTTTGAAAATAAGGTGTTTGTAATAATCACCATAATTTCTTGAACGACAGTTTCTTCTGCAACAACTTAAGAGCTGCTTCTTCAAACAATTACACTTGCTCTCAATAGACTCTTATAGATTAACACTTCTAGACTCTAGAGCCAACTCTCTATGAAGATACTTTACTCGGCCTGAATGGTAATTTTCCTGCAGTTTATTTAATGATAGCTCCATTTCCATTATGGATTAGTAATTTACTGTTTTCTTCTGAATCTCACCCCGGAACTTTATTATTTTCAAGTTTTCCATTTCTTTTTTGGAAATTTTACATACATACCACACAACTATTATGTATACATATCTAACACCCAAGGTTTGATATTTTACTTGTAACACTTCTGTTTCTTAAACCTATGCATGAAAATATATATTTCACTTTTACAAAGATAGTTATTGTGGTATTTTTGATGTGATATTAGAGATTTGAGGAATATGCATGTAAACATGAATGTTTAGGTTTCCCATATGTAAATATATAAGAATTGTGCGGTATGTATG